CCACGTGTTGAAATACCCCAGTTTAACACGACTTGAATACAAATTACCATGCATGCCCTTCAGAATTCCGACATTATACTTTGAGAACCCGGTGAACGTACTTGTGTACACATATATTTAAGAAAACCCAGCATATCAACAAAATGACAGGCCTGGTTGAGCAGGGTATTCTTCCGACGACTGAATGTCTTTTGCCACAGACTAGTATCCGTCTGATACTCTTCTTTAATTGGCCCACTATGATGTCCTTTATATACGGCTACTCCCCCCGCTTCAAGTGTTACACCTTCTTAATATGAATAACATGGCCTTTTTCAGTCTTTGGCATGCCAATATGGCCGACGTAGAAGAGAGCAAATGTTCAGCTATTTTGATAATCATAACTCTGCTTGATCATAGCTAGAGAATTAAAACTCTTTCGATACAATTAACTGAATGCTTGAAAACGCACATTATTGTGACCATATTGCCGGTAATATAAAATATGAGTGAAAAAGTCAATCAATAGGAATCGGACATGCCTGGCCAGATCTAAAAGGTTCTGCACGATGCAAATTACTACAGTACTTTGTCAAGCTTTACCGACAACAACTTGGGATTTAAAATTCTAGGGTAATTTGAGGGTGATATATATCTTGCGTCTAACGCATTCTGACTTCCACTAAAAATTGACATACCTTCTTCTCCGACGTCCGGAATTTTTTCTTCGGGTATAATCGACGTTTGGGCGTTTTCTGCAGCACCGTCCCGGCTTGAAGGCTCTGCCAGGATACATCTTGCAGTTCGGTAAATTCTTCCATATTGTTGTAGATACACAGATAGTTACAAGATAATATAGTCCAAGAGTTATTATAGATGCTGAAGAATCATGAAGTAATTTCAAAATATGAAACTGTTTGTAAATCCAGGCATCACTATATCATTTCAGTATTTTTTGTTTAAAAATCAATGCATGAAATTAAATATAAATTTATTAAAAAAGCCAAGTATTTACAAATGTGACTGTAGACCGAGATATGTATTGAGATATATCACATTTTAACAATATCGATGACGTAATATCACTTTTGCAATTATAATGGCAATATTTCAGATGAAGATGTACCGAATTGGCAATTCCAATATCATATGTCCGTTCATTCCTTACCAATGTGAATAAACTGTAACTTTTTCAGATAATCAACTATCATGATATATTCGCAGCTTATCATGCATGATGTGTGCCAATAAAATGCATAATCAAAAAGCTGGAAATTTCATGTGGGTTTCACTAATTCTGGCCACTTGCCCCAAAATTACGATGTCTAGCTTAATGCTCTAATGCCGGCATTGAAAAAACTTATTCAAAATATTGCGTAATAATATGATGGAAAGCTGATATGCTGCGAACGCCAAACCCGATTGGCTCAGGTAGCAATCCGACCACGACAAAAGAAGCAAACTTTAATTAAAAAAAGTTCTACATTTTAAAACAAAAACGTGAAACAACGTGATTCCTATTGTTTAACCTCGATCATATCTGTCATTTCTACGCAAATCTGGTTTGCCGTGGTTAGGAATGGGTGATGCAAAAGTAACTATTCTGGGACAACGAAATTTAAAAGATTTACCAATATTTGTTTTATTGAGTTGTTCAAATATCTGAAACATCCCGGAATACTGGTATGCTAAATTAAGACCATCACCTACTGCTGTATGCAGAGGCGTATCTAGGGTATGGCAGCCATGGCTCGTGCCATGGGCGCCGTTTGGACGGGGGCGCAAAAAACGCGAAAATTTCTAAACGTATAATGTTTCAATAAACTTGAAAATAAATGAAACTCGTATTTCTAATTAAATCATAACAAAAGTCAATGCAGTTTGCAGTTTCCAACGATCAATGCAGTTTGTTCCTTCACCTTCACCTTCACCAAGGTTTTTGGTTCACGGGCCAAACATTTTGCCCGCCTATAGTGACGGGCCATGTAAGTGTGACGTGAAAAATTACATATTATAGACAATATTTACAGTAAAGCAAAAGTGGAAAACAATTAGCCTCGTGTCAAAACTAAATTTAATCGCGATCTAAACAAATTCCTCGACTTATTTTTCAGCTGAAATATCAAAATTTGGTTTCAGTTTGGTTGTGGAAGCATCAGGCGGGCCTGATTGAATTACCCAACGGGCCGGATTTGGCCCGCGGGCCATAGTTTGCCCATGTAAAATATAGACTATGATGAGAAAACAGTGTGTGTCAAAGAGTCTTTTCTGGATTTCCCCAATCTCCGGATAGCTTTGCAAATTTTGCTGACATTGGCAGTATCCATAGAAAATTGCGATCGGTCGTTAGTAAACTAAAATTAATTCTGTCACACCTTCGATCTTCAATTAGCCAGGAAAGCTTTGTGATCTGGCTATATTAAGTATAAAGAGGGGTGAAACAAAGGAAATAAATTTTGATGAAATCATTGGCAAATTTGCGTCACGAAATATACTATTCTAAGATCTTGTTATTGCCCGACCGTCTATTGTTTATTGTGTAGTTATTAAATTGCTTGTTATGTTGCGTGGTTGAGAGCAATCCATTCCATGTAAACGAAAAGGGCGCATTTTTAAACCTTTGCCATGGGCGCCATTTTACCTAGATACGCCACTGGCTGTATGATCAGATTCAAACCCCAGGTCACTGCGATTTTCTGACCTTTGCGGACGCAGTGAGCACTTTTTCAAAATCTAATGGTAACTCAATTCTCCTCTTTAGCGACCACTAAAATTACCTCTCCATTTTTTAGATGATATCCTGATCTGCGACTGCTGTAGGACTCGGCATAATCATAAACAAAGTGCGTTGACCTAGTTATCGTTTGACGTTTCTGCAAGTTTTTATTACATGCTTGTCCTTTGTTGGTCAACAATAGTCTCTATCAAGTCCTGCGTTGAAAGCACATGTTGAGAAAGCGATAACGGATTATAGTATTATCACAAAACTATAGATAAAAGAAAAAAGTAGATATTCCGAACCCGATCATTACCAGCTACATCATGCGAGGTCGGTTGAAGCAATGACATTAATGTCATGTTTAATGTCATTGGTTGAAGTTACAAGGTTATTTTACATTATGGTCTGCCTAATATTCATTTGACATTCTTACTTGCGCTGTAAGTATAAGCATATCCTCCTTAATTTTTCAAAATCTGATGTTTATTTAGTTGAAATATTTAAATCCCCGATAAATGTTTTTGTTGCGATCTTTGACCGCTAGATGCAAACAATGTTTTGACAACATAATTATTACTTTTTTCACAACATAAATTTTACATTTTGTTTTATATAATTACTTTAAAATTTGTCAAAAATTCTCAGTTATACAGGTTCAGAATTGGACAGATTTTTGGTTTTTATGGGCAATTTTTCATTAGGGTTCACCCAACGACTCTAAATGTCTGTCAAACTATTCATAACATAAATTGGTGCAGGAATGACTTATTCAGATTTCCAACGAGTGTTTTTATAGTGACATTTGACCCTTGACCCCAAATGCAAAATTAGACCTATATATAGATAATTTTGACATTTACAGACATCTCTGGTACCTGACTCTGTTCAGCTCTGTCTCATTAAAATAGTATCGGTATCTTTTTAACGAAATGGTAGGCTACTGGGCTATGTTTGATAGATACGGTCAGACGGTAGAAAGATGTGGCGCACATTGTGAAAAATAAGCAGCATTCTGCAGTTATTTGTGTATTTTTCAACATATCTGGGGCGTAAATATGACAAATATGTGTTTAGTTTGAAATTTCGTTGAAAATTCTCATAATTATAAGGGTTTAAAATTTTGACAACTCTTTCATTTTTCGTTAATAACTTTCGAACTACTCAACGAAACTTTTTTTTTAGCTTCAGTGGATTTGTATTTTTGAGACGATTCCGCCAATACCTAACTTGACCGCTAAAATATAGCAGAACAAAAATCGCTCTTTCACATCTGGCAAAATAATCCGGGCTTCGTGAATTAGCTTCACGGTGAATCAATTTTTCAAACCATAGAAAAGCGAGTTTTTAACTCCTCAATGTACAACAAATTTTACTGTTTTATTGAAAATAGTCAATGTTTCTGACCTCAACAGTAAATCAGTATATCGACCAGCGGTTATGTGAACCACCCTACGGCAGCGATGGGCTTATTCAGTACAAAGTGACTTTGATTCAGTGGATGTATTGTTAGTTCTATTGTGGTGTTTGTTTTGGATAACATTGCTATGAAGCATTTTGTGTGCCTTGATCAGTGCTTACTGACTTGCTAATCAATAAGTTTTTTTGTGTTGAACTGGAATCATTAGACTAGTTCTAAAATTTTAAGCAAATTTGGGGGGAATGTAATGCGATGCCTAGATATAGAAAAAATATTTGTACATCAGAGCAAGTTAAGCTTAGCATCCAAAATATGAGAAAATTTTAGGGGTACATAAGCAATCTATAAATTGTCTAACAGGAAGTTCGGTAAACCCTGCTTGAAATGGTACAAACTTTTTGAGACCACAAACTGACAAGACTGTTTCAGTTCTGGTTTTGTTCACTTTAGGAGTTGTTAATAAATACATGATGATATTTGGGAATTTATAGATTATTTTCAAACAACTCCTGAGGCGACTGAATTTGTCATGCGCCACCTCGTAATTGGAAAGACATTAGGGGTGAAAAGTCTGTAAACCCATCAAAGCATAAATGTTGAATTGAAAAAAATCAGATCTTTGAATCATTCATTCTAGCCTCAAATAGCTGTAGTCTATTCTACTACTACTATAGTGTTCAAGAAGTCACCTAGTGGCTTCAGCATTTTCCAATCTGAATGGTCCAATGAAGTTCATATCTTCAAGACGATCTGTTCTAGTTTGTCAATCTGATTATTTTTAAGTCATTTATTTGTGAAAAAGCATGTCAAAATAGGACTTTTTGTCACATTTTTGACGTTGTTTGTTTTGGAATGTTTTCAGGATCGATCACATCTGGACTAGATAGGAGATATCAACATATGTTTTATAGAAACCTCTGACATTTATTTAACTAATATGTATATCTCTAACCAAATTTTATAGAGTTTTAGTTGGACAATTAAACTTGGATCATAATGCATATAAACTTCATGGATCGTACGAATGATTTTAAGAAAGCAATTTGTGATATTAGAAAAGAAAATAGTATTCTAGATAATACCGTACTGAAAAAACCATCTCTGGATTTACATGCTTATAAAAGGAGAAAATCTGATTTTAATAAGAAGGCCAATGACATTGTCCAGTCTATATCAAAATTGCGGGATTTTTTACTGCAACACCGCATTGCGTATATAAATTCTCATCAAGCAGTAGGCCTTGCGTCACAGCCAATGAGTGATCATGAAAGAGACAAAATTGATGAGGAAGCTCAGAATATTATTAAGAAATGTAATGATGCCATTACAGTGATGCAGCAAAACGTCGAACAAGACAATATATCTGATCAACAATGCACCCATAGGCAACTTGTACTTGCTTCAATACAAAATCACCTAAAGTCTGTATGTAAAATCTACAGTGAACAAAGAGCAATCAGAGTTAAATTAGTGGTTGACAAAAAACGCATTTCACGTTTGCATAATCCGGAAACACATAAGAAAGCTTTGACACAGGATCCAGATCATTCAAACAATACAGAACGTCCAGCTATAAAATTTGAAAGCAAATTCAATTATGAAGAGAGTGATGAAGATGATTTTTCTGAGACTGAAGCTGCAGCATTGGAACAAGAAAATGTTCTGTTATTCAATGACATGAATAGCATGGTTGATGAAGTGCGTGCAATCGAGGGAAAGGTTGTTGAAATTACTCGGTTACAGGAAATTTTTAGTGAACAAGTTTTGCAACAGGAAGGAGACATTGAAATAATATCAGAAAAAGTTATTGAAAGTACTGAAAATATAAAAGGTGGTAATGAGGAACTGCGGGAGGCGATAAAAAACAATGCTGGGTTCAGAGTTTGGATATTGATATTTTTATTGATGTGCTCATTCTCTCTTTTATTTCTTGAGTGGTATAGCTGATAAGGTGCGATAAATATAACTATTACTGTTCTATATTGAAAGGGGTGGTGATAAAAGTATCATTTGGCACTAAAAGGGAATCAAATACTGGAAGAAGCTGAATACAAATGTTGGTATAGGTGTAATTTTTTTAAAGCCAAATCTGATATTGAATGAAAGCGGGGCTGTGAAATCGGAAGAAATATAAACCTGACTCTGAATGCCAATACATTCAACTCCGACTCCCAACTCTGGGCTAATGAAAATTCTGCTTTGTCTCTAGGTTGAGGTGAATTTTGATGTCAGCTGGGAATCCCAAGAAAATCAAACTTTGTTGTTTGCAAGCATTCTTAAGTTATCTATCTGCTGTGAATGCTTAGTCAACCTGAAGCTTTTTGAGTTTTGTTAGAAATTTTAACTTTGATTGTCACCATTTAATTCTGAAATTTGATTCTGTGGGTGTACAGTTTGAAAAATGGGTATCTCAGTCGGACTCCAACAATATTGATGGACATTTAATTCCATGTTCCAGTTGTAACAATTTCATTATAAAATCATTTTATGATCTGCAATTTACACTTGTCTTTATTCTCAGTATCTGATTTCAAGGCCACTATGTTTTTCTTAAAATTTGCTGCAATATTTACAGCAGGGGTGGCCAACCTTTCACATACCATGCGCCACGTTTTAAACATAATGTTTCAGATGCGCCGTAAATCTCTTGTATTCCCACGCCTAATGTCCGCTTCTTGTTGAAATTATATAAATTTATAATACACACACATATATACACACGTATTTTACGCTTCGCTTTTGTTGACAACGGTCATTTGAAGTTTGGATGAAAAAGGTGGTATTTAGGGGGTCCTTTTCAGCATGTTGTGGGTTGATTTATAATAAATTTTTTAGGCTTGGGCAATTCAACTGGTTTTGGGAAGTCTGGGCAATGGAAAATCCATGTTTCAAGCTGATAAATGACGATTTTCTATTTTTCCAGAAGTTCTGAACTTTTTACTTCAGTAGGGAAAAATATTAAATTTTACTAATTTTTGCTAAAAGTCTAGAATGAATGTCATAAAGTTCGTCCAAAAGCTAAGGTCGACCATCGCCTGTTGTTTCTAATTCCAACAAGCCGTAAGTGGGCGACGTGGAGTAAGGAGAATAGATTTTAGGTACAATCAAAAGTCACCATGTAAATCGCAAAAAAACGGCTTGGCTTGAGAAGCCAAGTGCAATTAACAATTTTGGCATGAAAAGGGTTGAAGATGCAATGCGCCACTTCTAATCATGCAATGCGCCACGTTTGGCGCATGCGCCATAGGTTGGCCACCCCTGATTTACAGCTTTTGTCTATGGCTTTAATATATATAGATTATAACTTTGCTAGGTAGTGTGAATGCAACTGCATTATTATTAACCACAAGAGTATTGAAAGTATATGGTGTTATTTATCCACATTGTAAAAGTTTTTTAGAGAACACTTGCGAATAAAACTGCCCATAAGAAGATAATGAATCAGCATCTGATAGTGCCTGATTTAGGTTATATTTTTAAGGTGAAGCACTTTCAAGCAATCATTAAAATGTGTTATATGTATAAGTATAAAATCAAATTTAGTGATTTTATGATTTAGCTTAGCAAAGCTGAATATACCTTAAATTGCTGCAATGCCTGGAGGTATAATGAAATTTTAAGGTTTGTAAATTTGAACCAACCACACAAATTGTGAATCAGCATGCTATGGATTATCGCACTCAATTGTGGGTATTGCTGCTGTCTAGTAAATTTATGAACTAGTTTCAGTTTCTTTACGCAAGTTGCCCGAGAGAACCAGAATACATAAAATATAGTAAGAGGCTCAAGAGTTTTACTACAAACATGCGGAAATGTGTACGAAGTTGAGTACCTCCGACATCTTTCAGATTGCGCTCATTATGATTATGAGGTGCTATCCCTGTCCATACACTAATAACACACAACAATTTTTTCCACAATTGGTTCTTTGTGCCGTAAGTGGTCTGATTTTTGAAAAGCCGACAATGAACTTTTTCAATGAACAATGAAATCTTTTTTTACTTTTGAATTTATAAAACGAGCACACCTACGACGCGCGTCGTTCAGGATCTGTTTTTTTTTTGCACATGGTTTAGGCTCTTCTTCAAAATGGCCATGCGTAGGTTGGCAAACTCGAATCATATGCGGGGGTAGTTATGTGCGAGAGGATTGCTGGACTCCTCGCCGCCGTTGGGTGGGTCACGTAACCGCTGGTTGGTTACGGCTTCCTTCCTCCATAACGAAACCAGTGTTCTTTTTTTTTTTTTTTTTTAATGTTTCCACAATGTGGATTAATCAATAATTAAAGAATAAATAAAATAATATAGGAATGTTCTGAATTTGAATGATCAATTTCTCCGTTTATTTTTGTAATGATGACCAATCAAATCTGCGTTGATTATTGAGTTACCAATAATGTGACGATTGCAATTTATCCAACCCCTCAAAAAGATATCCAAGCATCGTTGTAAAGATTACTTCGATTTCATTGTTTTGCATGTTACTTTCTTGCTGCCAACCCACGAAGGGTAATCAAAGGTGAAGTGGCAAGCGTATTCCCAAAGCTTATTTAGCATAATGTGCCACGTCTCCGAGACCATTCTTATGAACTACCAGGCGGACAACTGTTGTAAAAGATAACTTTGATATATATATATATGCAAAAATATCGCACGGCTGAACCTGTTTCATTTCATTACAGGTCGTCTTCCCACCTCGGCATACATCAGTGAAACTTGTTTAAAAAAAAACTCTGCGTTACCTTTTTCCATTATCCACATGCAGGTCAAGAGTAAGACCATACTTTTGTAGTCGATTGTGAAGAGCCTAATTCAGAGCGAAACATTGGATGTACACGGCCACGGATATTTGCACCAGCAGACGGTTGCACTCATGGTCATGTTCAACTACAAATATTTGTGTTTCAGGAAAAAGTTATTTCCGCATTTCAATAATTTTCCACTTGGGTCAGTTTAGACCAGACTTACGCATGCGCTCTTGAAATTGGAGGTGAAGATTTTGAGTAAGAGTAATATTCGAGTATTATATAATGGTTGATATAGATAGAACAGCGGAATGCCGTTTTTGACCGGTTGAGATGGTATTTTTCATGAACATAGTAATCGGATGACGTCGCAAAGCCAAACGAGTCCGACGCCTAATCTATTTTATAATATTTATTTGAAAATGCGATAGTGGAGGCTTATTGCTGCTGGGGTGAGGAAGGTAAACACCGTAGCGACACATGAATATATATTTGGACAGCGTAGTATATCGCTGTTTACTTAAAAGATAATGTTATAAAAGGATCCTATTAGGAAATTGCACTAATTAAAGAAAATCTTTCTGAGGCGTTTAGAAAACTAGATGATATACCGGTATTATAGAACTAAAATCTATATGGTTGATACTTGATAGCTATCATAACATTTTGCTTTCGCGGGTGCGCGTGACTTCGAATAAATATGAGCCAAGGAGCGCTAGAAATAAGATGCGCTATAAAAAGGTTGTAAGAATGGAGGAACAGACATAGAAATTAGTCTCGTAACGACACATAATTATAAATAGGCGCCATTTATCTAAAATATGAAAGAGAATGGTGTGAACCAGGGGCGGGCCAGATTGGATCACCCAACGGGCCGCAGTAAACAAAGCTTCAATGTAACCTGCCCACCTCCGGGTGATGGACATCGGAATGTTATAAGTTATAGCTGAATGTTGAATGCAAACCTGTAGGTAATTAAATTAGATTTCCACACATCAATTTCGCTCAAGCGAAACAGGTGGAAAGCATGGTAGATACTGTTATGATGGAACAATGCAAAACAAGCGCATATGTCGTGAAACTATTATTCGCTGTCGCAGGACGATTTGCATGTTCGGTTAGTTAGTCAGTTGAATCTGACGAGATGCATGTGTTTTTGTCGCTAGTTTTAATACGATATACTGGCCAGCGAATATATACTAACCAAACCCCGCGGTAGAGGGAATGTAAGATTTTTTAGAACGTATGCGTTATTACGTGAGAAGAAAATTATGGTAACAAAGGCTGATGTGGGATAGGATTATAACATATAATAGCAATAAAAATGTGGCTACCGTAATCCAGATTATTCTTAGTATTTGTAAGCGATCGTGATTTTCAATTTATATATATTTAATAAAGAAATAAAGTTTTGTCAGAAACACAAATATTCGTTTGTTGAAAATGACTGTGGGAAAAAATGTACGGAGATGTTTATAACCACGAATGCAAATGTCCACAGTTGCGAATGTGCGACGGGTGCAAATGTGCAATCTATATACAAATGCTGAAATTTGTGTATGCAAATGTGCTGTCACCTACACAAGTGGGACCTCATTACCTAAGTTGCTTGCGGACCGCACGATGCAGTTTTGGGAGACCGTACATAAATATCCCAGCAAGGGTAGAGATGAAGAATCGACATTGCTGACTTAAGAAAATTAAAGACACCCAAAAGGTAGGGGGTGTATTGCTTTGACCTCTGCCTGCTTGAAGTTATAAATACTGACTTTTCAGACTAACTACGTCATATCCCATTTGACTCTCGACAATTTTTTCCTACAGACTACAGCAATCGAAACATACTCATGAATCAGACCTTGCCGCGTTCTAAATTCGTGGACCACAGTTGCTTGCCACTTTCCTGGAAACCTCGTCGGCGAAAGCTAGAATGACACTGCAGGTTGCTGTTGAAGGATATAGGTATGCCGTCTCCTAAAAACTTTTGTACGACAGATTTACTTTCAAATTCGATTTCTTCGGCCGCCAAAGTGGTATTCGGGCTAAACTCCAATTTCCCTTCATCTAACATGAAAATGGCATCACTGTTTAAAGGCACGGAACTTCCAGTGTCTGGCCGTTTAAATATACTCATATCTCAAATAATCATTTGATTCCGAAGCTTGCCGATAACCAACCCTTTTCGATTATAGGAGGTACTATCATATTATATGTGATGCATCCCAAGGGAACGTGGTGTTTGGGGAGAGAAGCCAATTTTTATTATGGCAATTCCGGTCGAAATACATACTATTTGGTTAAAGTAATCCCACTCCGAAAAGCAGTGGCAGGAACTAAAATGAACAAATTGGATGTAAATTTTACGCTGCAATGGTATTTGTAAAAGTATAATCTGATCTAATCGTTTTTGCTATTGACACGAAATCTAAATACTAGAGGAAGAAACATTTTTGTATATCACCATTGGTTTATGAGACTGTAATTAATTTTGCGCACCATATTTTCATAAAAATATATGTAAATAATAAATAGCATTTATTTAACTAATGAACATAGAAACTATGGTTAGCCAATGACTTGTTAAAAAATCATAGTGTGACTCAGCACCGCATTTGTCTACGCCAGCTGGTGCCTAAAAATTACAACGGTGAAAGAGTTTAGCACCATCAAATAAGCGCATGCATTTTTTTCATTTCACAATACACAAGCGAGATTTTTAATTAGGCATTGTTAACTATGCAAGTGCAATTATAGTACAAGAATAAATATTGCAAGATGGCATTTTTTCCGAACAGTGCCTTTATCCAGTATCCGCAGATATATAAAAAGTATATCATGGTTTGGAAGGTTAGGATATTTTGGTTTGACATATAAGGCACTTTGTGAAATGCAGGACTTCTGGTTTGAATCATAGATTTTCAATCTGCGACGTCAATGAAGTTTTATGTTATCCGTTCATGCATCACATTATGTTTAACATGGATTTCGCTTCATATGTCATAAGCTACAAATCAATTTGCACCAACGCCTGGCGAGTTAGTGACCAGGGAGAGGATGAAAATATTTGTGAATGAATAAAAAAAGTAAATATCTGATTGTGAAGGCATAGTTAAATTACAGTTACTGAAAACTACAAGCCAAACCTGAATCAATGGTTCACTTATTAAGCTTTGTAATAATAATTTCAAACCCCAATCACCAGGCGTATACGGACACTGGCAAATACAAAGACTAAATATAAGAAAAAATCTGAAAGTTCAATAAATGGATTGAAAATATTCAAAAATTTCTAGCAAATACGTTACGACGAGGTTCAATGAAAATAAGACATATCACCAGGCGTATACGGAAACTGGAAAATACAAAGACTAAGTACAAGGAAGAATCTGAACCGTCAATGAATGGATTGAAATTGTTTAAAATTTTCTAGCAAATACAACGAAGCTTAATAAAAATAAAACAAGATACTTCTGTACAAAACATGAATAATAAAAATAAATAAAAATGGACAGTACACAAACCCACTAATTTTCATTCCATGAAATTTATCTAAAAAGTGCCCAAGCTAATATTTGGAGCTTTACTTAAATTTAGGATAAAATTGTCCATTCCATTTCCGCCCAAACAAAAAAGTAATTAATACAATAAAAATGAGACGCGTGCTATTAAATAACTATATTGCTATTATATGGTCTCCTATTAATTACTGCCACAAATTTGTAAGTTTGAAACTTCTAATAGTAGAGGCTAGTATGTTACACAAAGTAAGTTTTTGTCCTCGATGCATTCAGATTGGTCTGTGCATGGACTAGTGGTAATCCATAACAAAGTCAAATTTCAAATTCGTTGAAATAAAAGTTGTAAATTATAACATTGAAATAAAGCTGTCAATTCATTTATATTACATTAGCTTAAAGGAGTTCAGTTGGATGACCCACGTTTTTTCGACATAAGAAAACATTAGCTATTGGAAAATTTCTAGTGATTTACGGAATATTTTTATACTCACTTTACAAATAATGCGGTACTTTATTAAAAAAAAGTATTTAAATGGGTTCATTATCATTATTGTGTTCAATGACCCGACATTAGAAAAATATCATGTAATGAATCTTAGATGGTCTGCTACCCAGAGTCGACTGCCCAGTGTCGATAAAATTACGATTGAGTTTCAGTCAATCATTAATCTGGCATTTTATATCGGAATGACCGAGATAAAACACAGTGACACGGAGAACTAATCTTCTGTTGAAACTTGAAGTAATTTTTGCAATAGAATGTTGATTTTTCCTGTAATAAAAATACTAAATTTGAGATATTTGAATTTTTAATGGCTAAGCAAATTATAAAAGGAAGAATTAGTAAGTACGATTAATCACCAAACTCATTTGTTACTTTTGCGCAAGTCGTGAAATAAAACTAATGGCACACGTGGGAAGTCCTAGCAAGATCAGCATAGTATTTTTACTTTCAATCGATTTTTATCGAAATTTTCTACTTTAATTTACAAGAAAATTCAAATATATATGTTTAAGACAAAGCTATAATTATTTCCCCTTTGAGTACTTCAATAAAATTTAAAATATATGCTGTGTGATTTTCTAACTTTTAAAGGAGCTTTCAATTTTCTTTAATTCGGTACATTTACTAATAATATGAACTTACTAATTGTTTGACTTTTCTTCTTGAAATGTACGAATGGAATATAAAATACCAGTCCGAACAAAACATACAGAACAGCAAATAAATAATGTATCTTCGGTTCATCAATAATTGGAGCAAAGACAAGACATACAGCAGCTATGCAAACTATTATGGGAATTATAATCGGAACCTAAAAATGAAAATTTGTTGTTAAATTTCAATATACATATTGAAATGTAACTTGGGACAAGATGATATTTTCATACTGATTCAGGAACCATGGCTATTTTTCGGCCGAAGTCGAAAAAGCCAGCCAAGGATAAAGTACTCTTAAATGCATGGCGCAGGAAGCTGTTATCCTAATGGGTAATCTAGCACTCGGACCAGCATGATACGAAAATGAATGAGTTTTGGGTTCAATGGCGCAATCACCGAGCTCATAAAGTTTTGTGAATAGAATAACGATCTAAATATCGAAAATGTTGGATAACGATTTTACGTATTGTATGTCAGATTAATGAATTACTTTTACTGGTCTTTTGCGATTCGGTTGTGTGATTCGGAAGTATATCAAAGCAGCACAAGTTCCCCCGTGAAACATCCACATGCAAAAACTGAAGTAGTCTACAAGTGTATCAAAGTCGTTTGGTATTATCATGATGATCGCAAGTAGTCCCTGAAAAAAACATATTAATAAATCGTGCGAACGGATGAGTTATCTTAATCGTCATTTGTTTTATTAGAATAATCTAATTCGACCGATCATCCAGTATTAAAAATTGCATGTAGCAGAATCTGTTATTAATGCTTGGGCTCAACTATTTTTATAGAATAATTATTTATAGAATAACTATTATAGAATAATCTACTTCGACCGATCATCCAGTATTAAAAATTGCATGTAGCAGAATCTGTTATTAATGCTTAGGCTCAACTATTTTTGATATTTGCTTTGGGTTAAAGATGTTGAAGTCGAACTCGAATTCCCGCCTTTAATCTATGGAAGGGAAAATTCGAGAGAGTCCACTCTTTAGTATGTTATGTGTTAATATAGTAAACTTACATTGAGTAAAACTGCAGGTGCTGGAGTCAGACGTTTAATGTGAATCATTGATAAAACTTGATTGAAATGGCCTTCCCTTGATGCAGTGTAAGATATTCGTCCGGCTGCGAAACAAGAACCTAAACACGTACCAAAAACAGACCAAGTAACCGCCAATGGAATGATCCAAGACATCACACCCAAAACTTTGACGCCGAATACCTATAAACATTAAAGTATATTGCATTATGTAATATTTTATTCTCACATATAATTTATAAGGCCCTCAATTGTAAGGTATCGGCGCATATGATCTAAATTTTATCAGTCACATACCGGTAGATTATATACACCAACACATTGCAATGTTGAACGAAACACTAACGCATCATTAAGCATGCAATTAATTATACTTGCACGCTATTTTTTTTTAAGAAATCTCAATAATCTTTAAAAACTACAAGGTACATTTAAATGTATTTATGAGTAATTCAAATATATTTCGTGAAGATATTTGCCGCAATTAGCGCCTTTAAAGAAAGTTGTTAATTACATAACAAAAACAATGCCCCCGCAGGGCACGGCGTTTAGGTAGTGTGGTGGTACAGCTAGTTCCAATATCGAAAACGTCTTACTATGTCACACATTCTTCGATCCGAATGATATGAATATGCATCAAACCATTAGATCATATGTAGTCGCACATTGGGTGAATTCTAATATATTTAGTTATATTTAATATGAATCTTCAACTTCCCGTAATATTTTGCATTCAATTAAGTTCAAATAATTAATTGCACAAATGACACATAATAATAGTATTTACCGTGCCCACAGCAGGCGAATTGAGCAGTTGAATTCTGGACATCGCAGTCATGTAAGCAACATTTGTCATCAGATATAATCCCGTAACTAAAATCATAGCCGTCACAATGGCCCTTGGTAAGTTTACATAAGGATTCTGAAGTATATGAATAAGTAGAAATATAACAATATGTGACGCAATTACGAATACATAAAGAATTTCAGATCCGGCAACGTCAAGAAGCGAAAATCATTGGCAGGGTTAGAGAATTTCCTTAATTATGAAGTGTGGGTGTGTTGTTGGTCATGAATAAACGTTACTTCAAATACGAAGAGTTGGGCGAAATGTATAAGTCCATGTAGAAATCTTAGCGTGATTGAAATACAAATATCTGCATAACGCTATAATTAAATAACGCAAAGACTCCATACGTGTATGATTGTTCACATATAGGAATGATCCGTTCTAAATATTCTGTCATGATCTACCTATAGTTGATGCAACTCAGTGCAATATAACTAAAACCAAATCCATCTTCTCTGTCTTTGGGGACTCACGTTAAAAACTGGTATGCTTAACATAGGTCCAACCTGCCAACGGAGCGGAATCTGCCAACGGAATATTACGTTATCATTAGTCTTACCTTCAATTCTTCAATGATGTAATTTAATTGGTTCCATCCATCATATGCCCAGAGACCTTGATAAAATGCGAGGGCGATTTCCCGAACTCCAGGCGTTTCCCCTTCAAATGAATTCTCCAAGTGTTTTGTGTGACCTGAAAATGAAATACAGTGGTATTCTAGGTCTAGGTCATCTCACAATTAAGTATTCTTTGACAAATGGTTGAGCTATCGCCTGCCTGGGAATTCACTTTTTTATAAATAAGATTCAAATCAGAGATGGCCAATACCGAATAGTGCACTATGTCGAATACTTTGGAAATTATTATTTTTGAACATGAAATTTCGAATACATTCGAAAATGAAATTAAATAAAAGAAGCTTATCTATAGTATATGAAGGAATTTGCATACAATGAACAATGGAATAACTGGCTATATTACCAGGCATTTCATGTTCGCAGATTACTGCGATATATATTTTAGAATATGGTATAACGCCTATACTTTTTTCTATGTTGACGCAACCATGAGTTACATTAACAGATTTAAATTAATACGGCAAGGCATTTTAAATAGTGGTATCGGTCATGGATTTGAATATTTTTCGCAACACAAAATCGTCCTAGTGAAAAGTCCATACTTTAAATGCCAACTATTCACCAAATTATTTGCCAAAAAAGCGGGATAAAGTTAAATTATTTTTCCGACTTGGGACAATTTTTTCGTGAGTCCGAAAATACGAATCAAAAATTAATTATTTTCGGGCACTTTACCACATATTTTAAGTCCGCAGATCACCGTTGTCTTTTGGAGTAATAACACTTTTATTATTTTATAAATACGAATAAAAAATTATTTATATTCGAACGCTTTACCAAACATTTTAGGTCCCGAGATTGCCGTTGTATTTTGGAGTAATATTATTTTTTAAATATGCAAATACGAATCAGAAATTAATTATATTCGGGTACTTTACCACACATTTTAATTTCACAAATTCCCGTCGATTTTAGAGTATCAATACTTTTATTGTTTTGTAAATACGAAAAGAGGAATTGTAAATTAATAACAATCGGGCAGCTTACCACACATTTTATGTCCACAAATCCCCGTGATATTTTAGAGTGATAAAACTTTTATTCTTTTGTAAATATGAAACTAGAAATCAAAAATTAATAATATCGGGCAGTTTACCACACATTTTATGTCCACAGATTGTCGACGTTACGTCGATAAGTTACGTTGAAACAAATTAAATTAATAGGGCATAATAAGTTTATATGCTGGTATCGGTCATGTATATGAATATTTTGCGCAACAGAAAATCATCCCAGTAAAAAGTCGAAACTTTTAACTATCATCATCAAAATTATTTGCCAAAATGCGGGAAAAGTACGAATTAGTTTTCCTAATAAATCGACTTGTTTTTCCGACTTGCAAAGGTGTCGCAACGATATGCTACGCACGCTTGCACAGAATATAAACAATCAAAGTGCCGATTCTATTTTATCATCATTACAATACGTGACGAAGCGCAAAAAATCGTTTGAAGCTTCCCGCGAAAACGAAACGCCGTGTTTACGGCGAAAAGTGGCTATTGTGGTAACCTAAGTTCTGTTTGTTACTTCACAAAATAATCCATTCACAAATACCAGACTTTAATTAACTTAAACGTTAGCAGCACCAAAGCAGTACACAGTGAAATTATAAAGCACCAACGAAACATCACTCGTATAAAACCAAGCCAAGTATGACTCAGCAAATAAATCGTTTTGGACAACCCTGATTCAAATATAAGTAACCTACCGTTTGCTAGCATCACGATTCCACCAATGATGATTATCAACAAGCTGATGATTTTCCCAACACTGAATACGGTTAAAAATCTAGTAGATAACTTTACACTGTAGCAGTTGATAAAGACAACTACTCCAACGACGACAGCAGCAACAAGTTTCATTGCCATCTCTGGTGTTTCGCAATCTAAAGATAATAAGAATATTTATAACATGCATTCAGGGAAAAACTTTTTCGCATGTGTACAACATTGGAGATTATACGTATAAATTTCATTCATAAAATCCATGTTTTCTTTATATGTAAAATAAGGGCATTTTAATTGCTGTCTGACGATGACAATAAAACACTGTAAGTAATCTGTTCATTTTGTATCATGTTACACAATGTCTTTGTCCTTCACGTGTTGACAAGCTTTTCAGTGGAATTTGGAGATGTGATTAAATAACACTCTACGGTGCTTGCTGTCCACGGTGTCAGGCCATGCTCACTAGAAGTAAATAAATACAGAATGTCGAAAGACATAATCTTTGAGCATTTTTATGCGCATCCGATAATAAAAGGTTCGTTTGGCATCCGCTCAGGACTCTCATGAATTTATGTTGCCTGATATGCCGAATACGATTTTAACTATATTTTTCGTTACTTAACTGTGCCATACTGGGTTTGACATCATTTATAAATAATCTAACATGAATTACCTGGGAACATCGGTGAAAGTGCGTATTTAGAAAAGGTTAATCCCAAAATTGCAAGAGCTGAAGGTTTTAATATTGTTGTTGAAGTCCAAGCGAAAAGATACGCAGGAATTGGTCCAAAAGCTTCTAACAAAATGGGATACTCTCCGCCGGATTTTGGAATCATCGTTCCAACTTCAGCATAAGAAAGAGCACCAAATGTTGCTAAAACTCCACATGCCAGCCAAGTCTTAAATAGAATTAATTAATAATAAAGAGTTGATAAATTATATTGGCTGAATGTATGTAAACGAAGACCGCAACTATTTTGTATAGTATTTTTCGTTGGTATGTGAACATAAATAATAGCTTCCGGTGCCGAAACAAGAGCTTAAACCATTGAAAATTGCGTAAAAGTGTAATGTATAGCTCCAATTGACTACTATTGAGCGCCAAAATGGAGTATCATTGACATATTATGGTGAAATCAATCCATCCGAGCGCTTCAAATGGGTTCATACATATTCCAACCTTTTTATGTGAAATGTAATCATTTCAGCATAGAATTTTAACTAATGCATATTCTTCAATGTATTCGAAGTTAATTGTCATTTGAATAACGTCCTACTTATTTTACACTTTATTACGTGATTGAACTCTGCAACATGCAATATTGATTTGAGTTATATAACTGGCTAGGCACAGTGCCCACATTGAAAAACATAGCTATTCCTCAAGTGGAAGCCAAAATAGGAGATTAGAATAGATTCGAATAGATAGATTTTTCATATAGGTTATGGTACATTCAGAGCGACTTACCAAAAGACCGCTACCAACTGATCCCATGAATCGAAAAACACCTTTTGGCGAGACGAATATTCCAGATCCGATCATTGATGAAACAATGAGACTCACACCACCGATGAATCCAACTTCTCTCTTTAATCTCAACGTTTCGAGTTCTGCAAAAACAAAATTCATGCTACTTTTTATATGTTACCTTTTTCAGCAACGGCTCATTTTGAATCATGGTTAAACGTAGATTTATGCCTAATTGTTCAAGATAATTCATTTTAATTTGCAAAATGGGTAACCGCTTTAGTATTTGTAATAATTATTTATGTCTCTGTCTGACAATTCAGCATTTTATAGATTGAAAGTAGCCCATCGATTTCAATTTTTTTTTTGTTGCCAAATTCTCAAAGGATGAGAAAATGAATCTGAAAAACCTGATTTTTGTTCATTTCAGGCTGCCATCATATTTTATCAATCGATTGTTTATTAATTATTCTTCCATATATTATGCTTACGAATCAAAGTGCTATTAATCTGTAATAAAAATTTCAAAAAACCTTCGGGTTCTGATGACTTCTCTTTTTCATTGTCCTTTTTAATTCTGGAAAGTAAAACATGATAAGTATTATACAATTTATTATACTGAAAATAATTATGCTATGTTTTATTTCACTATAAAATGTCAATGATTATGAAATCTATCTACCAAGTAGTGACGGGGAAATTATTTTAGTTTCTCTATTACAAAAAACATATATATATATATGTATATATATAGTAAATTGGACTTCAGCGGATATTAATGGGATTACAGCATGAAGATCTGGCAATGTAGTTATAACAGCATCAGCTGGGTGGTTCATGGCTTTCTGCCAACAGAAGTACAAAGTTGAACTAGAAAATCCTGACATATTTCATATCGCGTCCCATGCATATAGAAACACATTAATTATGATTGAGATTTTGGTGAGAATTTCGAACCAGTTAATATAGTTTATTAATGCACCGAGCAAGACAACTGATTTTTGATGAGCTGATCGTAGTATGTCACGCTGGAACACCATTTAATTTATATATCATATCAAAAGCTATATATCTACCTCAATCGATGTAAAAGACTCTTCTTACTTTCTGTAGTAGCATTTATAGAATCTGAAGATTCGTCACTTGCTTCCATAGTGTATATCAAGGTTATTTGTTCTGGTACTACAATTACTGTACGTTTCACTGCAAACAAAACCGTACGAATTGGGTTCATATAGGTTGGGGGTGAGATTCTTATGGTTCTTTAAGATAATACGATGGAAAAAAAAATATAAACCCCAACCTTCTGACCTTACTGATATGACATCGTTTCCGGCTTACTGAGTGCTACATAACATACTTTTTTGAAAACCTTTCACAAAATTTTATCATTCGTGACATGGATTATTCAGATAACAGTCCATTTCGGGTACCGTAACAGCGAAACTTGAAAACCAAAACTGTCTAGCAGAGCGTTGCAACGTATATGCTAGTTTTATTCTTCGCTCTTTACTTCTGCAATAGTAACAGAACTACAACGATCATGATTTGAGCGTGTTTGTAACGACAAATACACAGGAAATTGGTAATTTGAAAGATGTGGAAGTGTCGGTTGTCAGTTAATTTTATATTTGTATCGATTTTACATTCTCCCAAAACCGGATTAAAGCAAACTCATCAGGTCTTCCTGCTTTTCATAGTCCATACATGTATCCTTTCATTCAAATTTAAATCTTAAAACGCATGGATATTCACTAAACAACCTTTTTTGTTTGGCCCTAAATTATTAAGAAAACTCTTGGTTCGAGTCAACACTGCATTCACTCTATACTCTTGCTATATATCTGAGCTAACAAAGGTTTAAAAGCCATGTCAAAATCATATAGAATTGCATTGGTCACCTTTTCGATGTATGATAACGTATACTTAACGCTTGAAGGTACCTCATAATTATAGATAGTTTCTCGCTAACTATGGGTTTTACGCGAAAAGAAAATTTAATGCAAACCGTACTGAAACAGATTTTGATAGTATTTGTGTATGAGTTGCGGATGCATTATATTTTACTTCTTATATAATCACTGGTATTGCTCATATATATACAACCATAGAAGTGAGATATCAATTTATGGCTTATATTCTGTCGACCTGCTCTTTTTATATATTTGTGTTATTCTGAAAATCATATATTCACTGACACTACAATTTTATGTTATAGTAATTCACTATGCGTACGACACGCGCGAGACATTGAACCGGCGTCGTTTTAGGTAAAGCGTAATAAGACGTTTCTATTCGATGACACGCCTCCCATTGACCTACACATTTTCTGTTTGTTGATTGCGTCAGATCATTTTCCTTAACGCGGCGTCTTTCGTTCATAATTCTAAAGTGAAACGGGATTTTTTTCGGCTGGCATGAAAGACTTATCGACCTGGCCACAAGATTCGGCGGTATCTGAAATGGAATAAATCTGGCTCTGTTTATTGTTGTTGTTTTTATGTACTTTAATTTATACTAAAAGATCACGACGGCGCGCACAATTGTTACCCTCTTCTTACGATATTGAAACAGGTTACAAATAAACCTAGCCGCACAAACATGAAAAACGTGACATAAAGATAAAGTTTTAATACTACTAACGTCACACACTTGCCGATCAAATACTGCACAAATCACTCATTGAAATAACTAGATTTATATATACTATAAAAGCCATCCCGACTAAGATGTTATGTTTCCACAAAATACTATCAGAACTTGAAACGAGATATAGTGTACACGACGTTGCTTCGCTGCCTTGGGCAATTTATAACAAAGAAGACATTATACAACTACTACAGATTAAACGAAGCAAGGGTGGGCTTACTATAAATCAAAAATAACATCTCAAAGACGTTTGTCCGCGCTTTGTACTCGTCAACCCGTGTGAGTACAACGTCGAGTTGATGTAACGCTTCCTGCGCAAGAATGGCAGCGTTGTTTAATATTTATATGATGTTTATATTACCGACACAGAGCCAAAGCATTGAAGTAGTAGGCCAAAAAAGCGGTGTTTTAAATGCAGCCCGGCGTGGATTGTCTTTTAAATAGAGTAATCAATTTATAATACTCATATTATACGAACCTTTTCAAGAATAATATGATACAGATAAATGAATACGATTGCGAAACCTCAGCGCTCTCATGGTAGCGTATATATGAATAACACAATTAAATATGATAAGGAAGATATTTTATATTAAAATTTCCAAAGATGAATTTAATTAAAATATCGTATCTTAAGTAGCAGAATTACAATGTACAAGGACGAGCTAAGAAATATATGAAATTTAGGGCGAATATTATATTTATTTAGGATCTGAACTGCAGTACATTATCAAATTAAATCGACTTACTATAGATGAGACACTGTTTATTCACCACATCCACAATAGCTAGTTATCTACATTTCTGATCATGGATCAAAACGTTGGATTAAACGTCAGATTCCTGTTACGCAAATCCTCCAAACTCGTTGCTGTTTAATTGGCCATATGTCGCTTGGTGTAATGTGAAGGCACATCACGTCTACACAATATTCAACTCGGCTTCCTTCGTTGACGCACTGACTTATGTTAATGCTCCTTTATTGAATCATTTTTTTCTTGCATACACTACTAACATTCAAGATTAAGAGATACTTGCTCTCCATTATTTTGTATTTTAAAATGCAATCAACAGGCTTATATAAAAACATTCTTCATAATATAAAGTTTTCCTATGTCTTCTCTATTCATTTCATCACGTTCCTCGTTCAACCAATGGAAAAAGGAATTCTTATCAATAAAGGCAGTATTTCGAAGCGCGTACTCGTTCCATAGCCCTGCAGTACATACTCCGACTGGGGAAACTATCCGAAAATCGATAACCGAGCGTGATATGTTCAATGCTCAACTTGAGTTCACCCACTAGGAGTAACGCGTTTTATTCTGGAAATATATCGATGACCGCAAATCGTAGTAACGCTGACTCAGCTATATTTTCGTTGAAAGTATAAAGCACAGGAGAAATATGCCAGCAATTATCATTTACTCAAGCTATTGTGATACCGAAGGCGGGACAAAAACGGACAATACACTATTTTATATCTGTCTGCGACATTCTAATATCAGAATCCCAATGTCGCGTAAATTCGAACTATCACTAACACTAGGGATAAGCGAATTCGTGAATTATTTTATGAAATATACCTACGAAAAGATGCTCGGTCAAGTAATGTAACAGTCGGGTGATCATCCTCCCAGGTGCGGCTTATGTATCTATGGATAAATATATACGAGCCATTATAAAAAAAAAAATTATTGGGATTTTCTAGTAATTGCCTATATAAAATAGTCAGTCAGTTGACGTTTCCCATATATTTGACCCCAAAAAACCTTTCTCGTCATAGCAAAATTTAAGAAGATTTTTTTGCTCGTTCGCACATGCTCGCGACTAATATTTGACTACTGCAACTATACTAAAACTACTCAAAAGACAAAATGACAATTAAAGTATTTGATTTGATTTATACCCAAATTTTATAAACACTACTAAAAACTGACAACTAACGCAAAACAATGAAAACGGACCAGTGTTCACAACCATGTGTGAAAATCTGTCGGAGTAAAAAAAAAACATCATTAGATTTAGCGTTATTGTTGATGAATAAAATCTTGTTCGGAGAGAAGCAGAACTGATATTAGAGTAAAAAATTCATCCGAAAACACATGCTTGATAATCGATATAGCAGTTGTGGCCGACCGTCGTAGCTCATTGAAAAAAATATCAATATTGGACAAAGATTTAGCAGCTCTTGTGGGAATTGCAGGAATACTTAGAAGGGTTCTTGAAACCTGTGGACGCGGAGCGTGTCCCAATTTTAAGAAAATGCACACCAGTTGAAAAATTGTGAATAACTTGAAAATAATAAGTGTTACGGTATTCACATTTATTCATTTTCATTATAATCCATTCATGCAACTCCTGTTTAATGTAAAAAAATAAAATATGATTGGAGCGAATATATTGACCTTTTAGAATGCTAATACAAGTATAATGTTAAAAGGAGAATTAGAGAATCTCCTTTAGCATGAAGAAATGGGGAGAAATCGAGACAGCAACTTTGTTTTACCCCGTGTATCTCCGGAAATTTGGTCCCGGTGTTGAATTCGCCGACACGCTTGACTTGGTGCTGACAGATTATTATTGCTTCGAAAATCATCGTGCGACTTCCTCCGTTTTTCCGTATTCTGACGGCGCTGTCTCACGTCAAGGTTAAGTGAGTGACTTATAAACATTCATGTTAGTTGTGCACATGAAATATTACACGATATACTTGACTATAGAACTGATAGAATGCAGATTACAAAACAAAATAGAGGAACAATCAATTGAATAGGAAGGCTCTAGGACCGGTTCAGCACTCGAAAGCACATTGACAGTAAGATTTTAAATTCACTTTAAAGCTCCCAGGAGTAGATGTAGTCTAGTAGAGAGCCGCTTTGTGCTACGATTGTTCAGCATAAAAAAAGAGTAAGTTGTAAATGTTCTTATAGGTACCCAATACAGTAATGATTTGTCAAGGAATGTAAATTTTGATAAGAGATATGTGTATTTTCGGATCATAAAAAAGTTGCAGTGTGAGAATTTATGCTGTGTGATCAAAGCAGTAAGTAAGAATATAAATTGACTGATGGGTGATTGAAATTATGACGTCTGTATGAAAAACATAAATTAAACACACATATTTTAACTTCAATTAATTAATGTTTTATGATGAAGTTCTACTGATCTTGATAATTTTTTCCCAGACTCATTCTGTCATTGTATACGAAGTCACCAGCTGCATATTACAACATAAGAGGTGTTTTACGTTTGCCATGATAATCCATTTTGCTTGATTTCAGGCTGGTACTAATAACATTTTTCACATAAATTGGGTACCTATTATTGCTATTATTTAAACATGGCTTCAACATATATATATTTATAATTTTAGATGTGCCAAAAAGTTTTGAATTATTGATTTGTGATTAATAGCAATAACTTTTTTTGCTACTGCAAAATCCACCACATTTATTGAATGCATTAATATTTCTCCTGGAACCGTTACATTTTATTAATTCCAATTTGTTTTGTGGGGTATTCACATTTTTGTTTCAAATAATATTTTGTCAAAGTGGCTGTTATACTTATATATAAACACATACATGCTTAGATGGTAGACAAAGTTCGATCGTTG